AATTTTGATTTCTTTTCTTTCTTGTTTCTATTTTTCTTTTAGATATTTATGTTGTATTTCTATATCTACTTTCTTTTCCTTTCCTTTTTTCTTTGTTTCTTTTTTGTGACCAGAAAGTGTTTCCATATTATTTTTTTCAAAATTTCTTCTTTCTATATGCAGGAACTCTTCAATCTTCTGGTCTATATTCATTGGTTCAACAAAGGCACTCTTAGGAGCGATCAGCCAGGGTTCACCCTGTTGTTTCACTTATGTCCTCTAATCTTTCAGGTCTTTCTACAATCTGTCTTAGGATGTCATTTGTATATGACATTTCTTCTTGTGCTTGAGATTTAGTTTCCACTATTTTTCTTCTGTGAGGTCTGTCTTTCTCTTTAAAGAAGTTTATATATTTTGCTCCATTTTCTGTATCTTGACCTTGTGTATAGCCTTTGCTTGTTGTTGTCCAATCTTCTACTCTTTTATTTTGTCTTCTTCTTCTTCTGTTTATGCTTGGCCCATGTTTTTGTTCTTCTTCCCTATTGATGTTCTTTTCTGCTTCAGAGGTTTGACTAAACCTTTTCTAGCTTCTTCCTCTTTCTTGTTTAAAGTTTTCTCTTCACCTTGTTTCTTCTATTTCTTCTTTTATCCAATAAAGTCAAAAGTTGTTAAACATGAATAGTTTTGACTAGGCTAATTTCATATCTTTTTCTATTGCAAACATAACTGTTGCAGTTTTTCTTTGGTTTCCATTTCTGTTTGGAGGTATATGGACTGATTTAACCCTTTTGCTTTTCAAACTCCATAATAGTAGAACTTCTGAGCAGCTTTCTAGTAATTCTGTCAGTTTTGTTATATATCTTCTTTGTCTTTTTCTCACTTCATGGTCCTCTATCCCTTTAGTTACTTATACTAACTTGTTATTGTTTACTAGTATAGCCTATGGTATGTTCTTATGTGTTTCTTCTATTTGTACAATGGCTAAGGCCTTATATTTTGATCTTTTAATTCTTACTACATGGGCTTTCCTAAATCTTCTGCAAATGTATTCTACTTCTTCCTTGTTTATGTTTATTGGCAAGTCACAGATTGTTATGTCCTTTGTGTTCTCTAATTCTTTATTTATTCTGTGTTGGATTTTGTTTGTCTTGTTTTCGTTCACTTCCTGCTCAGGTTCTTCTTCTCTGGTTCTTGCTTCATTGTTTCTTTTCTTCTGGTGTTTTTCATTATATTGTGTTTGTTTTCTTCTACTATCTTTCTCTTTTTATTCTAGTATCATTTTATACCAGTCACTCTCTTTTCTACTGATTCTTTGTATCACTCACTTCTGCTATATTCATAGTCGAAGCTTACTTCTATCTATACATTTCACCTTTTAAAAATTTCCCTAACATCTTTAACATGCATGTTGTTTCATAGGGACCATCTGATGAATTTCATATGGTCTTCTTTTGTTTTACCTGGTATATTATGCGCTAGTATGTTAGCGAGTAAACTGTTGTTTTGGTTGCAGTTTCTCTTGTTTGGAGCCCACATGCTTTCTTCTAAGGGTTCTCCAAATATGTCGATTTCTTTTTTAATTTCTCTACTAGTGTCTTTTTGTTCTTGCTTCTTTTCTTGTTCTTCTGCATTTCTCCTTTGAGTAGGCAAATTCTCCTTCATTTGGTCTTTGTTTATTAAACTTACCTCTATACTTACTTCTTTTTGTAAGTTATTGTTGTTTTGTAGTTTTTTCTCTGCTGTTTTTTCACTTTCTTCTTCTTTTCTTGCAATACTTTATATGGTTCTTCTTGACTTCTGCTTACTTCACTTGGCTGTTGCTGTATATCTTTACTTTTGTCCTGTGACTGCATTATTGCTAGTTCTTCTATTATAGCATTTTTGTTTTGTTTGTTGATATTAATTTTCTTTTCTGGTTGCTCTTCTTCTGCTTTTTTGATTATCTCTCTAGTTATACATAGCAGAGCAACCTCTATTGGGTCTTGTTCTGTTAGCATAACAACAATTTCATCTTCTCTGTCTGGTGTTGCAAGTAGTTGGCTTGCTTGGTTGAAGAACACCTTATTGTGTATGCTGTTTGCTACCCAATATGCTCTTTTGATATAGATTGTCATTAGACTTTCTTTTTGATTTTGTGTACTACTCATTTTCTTATCTCGATATTAGTAGTTCCTGTTTGCTACTTGTTGTTCTGGATTCTTCTATGCTTCTGTTTATTGCTATTCTAATTAGGTTTATTTGCACACTAACTAATCTACATGTTTGTTTTGTTTTTCTGTTCACGTGTTGTAGTAATCTATATATTTGCGTTTTCAGATTACAGAGGATTTCCCAAATTCTGTTTTTCCTAGCATCAACCAAGGCGTTTTCTGTTCTATCTTCTTAACAAGTTATTCAAATTTTCTCTTTCTTGCCTTTGTTATATCTTCTTTACTTGCTTTATCTTTTTCCTTAAGCCTGTGAGGTCAGTTTTGACAGTTGTTTGTTGGCAAACTTCTAAATTGTTTCCTTGCAGTTTGTGTATGAGTAATCAGTAGAAAGAGTTTGATCTTTTTTTTAAATGATTCTTATTTATTAATTTATAAATAGATAATTAAATCTATAATACAAATTATAAGGTTGCTGACCTGCTTTAAGATGCTAATCAAATTAGTAAAATTAATTAAATTACAATTATTTTATCGATAGTCATTTTGTTGATATTATATAGCATGATAATTTATAAATAATATAGCATACAACTAATAGTATGCTATATTATCACATTTTGTAATATTAGTAAAATGTTTTTTGATAAATTGATTGTAAATACTATTATTATTAAAGAGAATAAAGAAACATTAAGTTTAATTAACCTAAAAAAGCCAAGTTCTGAAATGGGCTAAGAAATTATACAAAATAAAAATATATTCTTTGCAAAGCCAAAATAAAGTGTAAGATTAAATCATAAAAAAGTTTTAAAATTTTTTCAAATAATATGTCTAGCTTACAATATATAAAGAGCTAATTTTTGAATTATTCAAATTATAAAATCAGTTCATTAATAATCCTATAAAGTTTACTTTTAAAAAACTATATAACATCATAAAAGATTCTTTTAATTTATAAATATTAATTATAATTGCATTATTATGGATTATTAAATCTGTAAAATAGTTTATTTCACATTTGATCAAGAAAAAATTGTAGTTCATAGATATGTGCTTGTGAATAATATGAATAATAATAAAAACTACTATCAGTGTTATGTGTATAAATTTTTAAAAAACTATAAAAAATGTGCTATTACTGTTTTAGAAGAACAAAATCATGTTCTAAAAAAATTTACTTCACACAACCATGCTTATGAGGTATTTCATATTGATGTAATACATGCACTTAATAACATTAAAAAAAAGGCATTACAAACACATAAAAAGCCAGCCCAACTTATTCAAGATGCAGCAGTCAATATGCCTAAAGAATCATTTTCTTATATGCCAAATAATGATGCTTTATACAAACAAATTTTATATATTAGAAATAAAAATTTACTTTCATAATCTTGATTATTAAAAGATATTAATATACCAACTCTATTACAAATAACTATACAAAAAGAACACTTTTTGGCAAAAGAAATTGATTTTGATAATAAAAAAATAATGATCTTTTGTACTCAAACTAATCTTCAGTATTTGAAAAAGCCTGATATTGGTTAATGAATGAAACATTTTGGACAGTTCCAACATTATTTCAGCAATTGTATACTATACATGCTCTTATTGGTAAAAAAACTAATTCATATATTTTTTTAATAGTATATGTCTTAATAACTAATAAAACTGAAGAAAGCTACATATGATTGTTTTAGAAATTAATTAATTTAGATAAAAATATTACTTTATAAACTAAAATTATATCTAGATTATATTTTTCAAATAATAGCTTTTATAATATTTTATTGGATATTCTATAGATTAGGTAGGCAATATAAGAAATAAGCTTTGCAAATGATTAGTAATTATTAATTTTTTAATATCGAAGTTGCAGGTTTTGAAGCTTGCCCACCTATTCTATAGAACATCCTATAATTCTACTAATTTATACTTTTTGCTTAACTTAATAAAAAAATTTATTTTAATTTTTGCACAGCTAGATATGTGTTTCTCATATAACAAAATGATATATACTACTCTTATATATAAGCATATATCTAAATACAATATTAAATAAAAAATATAAATACTGCTAAGTAAAATCTTAAAAGTCTAAATATAGTCTACTATATATAATTTTTAGTTTTTACTTAGAGATATTTATATTAAAAAAAATAATATAACCTAAATATTATTAATAATTTTTATTTAATTTTAAATTAAGTTAAACAATTTAATATTTTTAAAATTTAATAAAGAAGCTAATTATGATTTAAATTCACTAATTATTATTACAGACTTCAAACAATTAGCAATTAATGCTATTTATTTGAATTTTCTAAATACAAAAAATAAATGTTGCTTTTTTCATCTTTGCCAGAATCTTTGAAAGTGAATTCAAAATGCAGGATTAGCTAGTGAATATGGTAGTAGTAAAGAATTCAGTATCAAATTATGTCACTTAATGGCACTTGTTTTTTTTCTCTATCTGAAATACCAAAAGCATTTGATCAAGTTAAATTGTTAATGTTTTCTAATACAAATGAAGTTATAGATTACTTTAAAAATAATTATATTCATAAAAGAGTTAGATAACAACTTAGAAATAGAAATATAGTTCATGCTTCACCACAATTTTTCTCATCATTATGGTCTGTATTTGAACTTGTAACTTAGGGTTATCCTTGAACTTAAAATGCTATTGAAGAATAGCATTATAAATAAAACAATATTGTTAAAAAACCTCATGTTGGTGTTTATACAATCATAAAAGAAATGTGCAAAGAATACTACCAAACAACTATGCAAATAGAAAAGGTTTCGTATAAAGAATCTTGTTTCTCTCAACCTAAACATGTTATTAATTCAGAAATGTGCATTTTAACAGTATTTAATAGTAGAAATAATTATCTTTTTACAGATTTTTTAAGAAGAATTGCCTACAATATCTTTTTGTAATTTTATTTTTTTAAAGTTTTTTATTTTTTTTAAGTTTTTTTTTATATTATATATTTCTTTATAAATAAATTTAACTTTTTTATATTATATATTCCTTTATAAACAAATTTAGTTTTTTTATATTATATATCTCTTTATAAATGAATTTAGCTTTTTATATTTTATTTATTTATTAAATAATCAGTTTTACAATTATGCATAAATTCTAGCTAGTTCTTATTTGGCTATAATAATTTGATTGCATTTAGTATAAATAGTATATATAGATTTTTTATGATTATTTCTTAGCCTATTCTAATAGTTAAATATTAACTTTACTATTTCAAATATAATTGTGTGGGTATTTTTGTTTAATTGATAGTTTATATTAGAATTATTTTTTCTTGTTTTATATTTTTTGTATTTCTTGAATATTTATCAGATTGATAGTTATTAATTAGCCAAAGTAATTTGTGCTATATAAACTTTATATTAAAAAATTTTAGTAATTCATATATGCACTATGTACAATAAAAATTTTAATAGATAAATAAAACTAAGATTTTCATACCTCGATTTGATATTGCTATACTCTAATAATTATAAGTAAATATTTTATATTATGTATAATAAAATTATCTGCTAAGTCTACAAAATTTTTCTAATAAAACTAATCAAATATCAAAATCAAATTATTTCTTTCAAATTTAATTTATATTACTATTACAGTTGTTAGGCGAAACTGTTTTGCACAAATAACAAAAAGCAAAACCTAAACCTGGTAAATGATGAAAGTGTTGAAAATCTGGTAAAAGGCAAAACCTATAGTGAAAGATGAAACTTCTTGTAAATAGTGAAACCTCTAATGAAAGATGAAACCCTAATGAAGACAAAACTCCTAGCACAAGTCAAAGCTCACAGCAAAGTTTAAATTTACTAGACTTTGGAAAAGACTGTACTATATTGGTGAATGAAAATATTTCATATGTCTATTAAGCACAGCATGTGGTTCATATAAAGAAATATATTGGTAAATAAAATATTTACATGTGGCAGCATTTGATTTATATATAAAGAAATATATATACATATATATGTTGTGGCAGTAAAAATTTATCTGACAACAAAAACTAATCTAACAAGAGTTGCTATTATCCAAAAACATATCACAAATACTACTAACTCTAATAAAATTCTTTTTTTACTTCCTAATTAGTAGGCTTTAATTGAGGTATAGAAGATTTAGTTTGAGTAACTAGGATCAATTAGAGCTTTAAACTACATTACAAGTTTCTTTATACAGAATCACAGAATTTGATTACTTTCAATCATTTTCACAAATTTTACTTATTAAGAAAGAATTAGTAGAACAAATACTTCTATTTAGAGAACCTTCAAACTTTTGAGAACTAATTATAAGTTAAATACTTTGATTTCTTTAACTTGAAACTTTGAATTTCCCAGAGTTTTATAATATAAGAGTAAATCACAAGTTAAATACTTTGATTTCTTTGACTTAAAACTTTGAACTTTCCAAAGTTTTATAATATAAGAATAAATTACAAGTCAAATACTCTGATTTCTTTAACTTAAAACTTTGAACTTTTCAAAGTTTTATAATATAAGAGTGAATTACAAGTCAAATACTCTGATTTCTTTGATTTAGAACTTTGAACTCTCTAGAGATATTCTTTTATTTACAGTGATATAGTTATGCTTAAATACATTTTTATACAGTATTAATTAACTATGAACTTTTCTGTTATTACAACTATAACTGCTATTTTGGCTATAAATAGCAGATCTGCTATATCTACCATTTTTGTTAGATATAGTAGTTATAGCAGTTTTGGTAGATTTCAACTAATTTTTGGTTAGATCAACTGAACCACCTTGATTTTTGACTAGTTGAAATTTTCCTCTTATATATATATATATGTATATTATAATATGACCTAGCTGTAGTTATAAAAATATGATTCAAGCCACATGACTCAGACTCATAATGTGGGTTAATCAACAAAGTGAAGATATTTAATAATGCTAATTCAGGCTTGGCTTGAGGCGATGCTCTATTGAGAACAATAGTAAGGTATTGCTAGTATTTATATAGTAAGAACTAAAGTCGTTGTCATTTAAATAAGTATAAATTGCTTATAATGATCTTAATTATATTAGCAAAGCCCAAATGTTGTTCACAATATATAGAAGCCTATTGAATTCATATAACTAATAGAGACAGATAGATAATAAGCAAATAAACTATAAAAAAGACTATCTAATCTGAGGTTTCTAGTAGAAGTAGGATCCTTGATTCTCAGACCAAATTCTTTATGTCTTTTTTCGAGTAGCCTAGTCTTTGTTGTGATTTAGTGTCTTATTTTCTTATAGAAGCAGAAATTTATAGATTAATATTATTTATATAAAAAACTTAAGTTATTTATTTAATTATTTAAATAAATTAATATATATTATTTATATAAAAAAATTTATTTTTTTTTATTCAATTACTTAAATAAAATTTGCTGTTAATTTGTTAAGAATTTATTTTTTTAAAAAATTTTGTTGTTAAAACTTTAGGTACTATAAATATGTAATTAGCTTGTTAATATTATTGGCAATTATTTTCTGATTTATTATTTTAAATCTTAGAAATAATTCTAACTATTAGAAAATAATTATTATATTATTGACTTTTAATAGATCTAATATAGTATAATTCAGATAATTAAAAATAAAAAGTAAAGTATATGTATATTCTGTTAGTGTTTTAAGTTGAAATAGCATTAAGTTTTTTAAATTATCAGTTTAGACAACTATTAATATATACTAGTATAAAGACTGAAACTTGTTGAATAATAAATAGTTATAAAGAAGTATTTGTAATCTTAAATAACTAATTATAGATATACTGTATTTACATTGAGATGTTGTAAAGCAATTTATTGTAAGATAGGCAAATATAAGAAAACACTTGGTAATTTAAATAATCATTAAAGATTGTTTCAAAAAATGTAGGCACATTAAAAAAATTTAGAGAAATATTAGTTAAGAAAATGCAAGATATAGCTTTCAGATTTAAATAAATTGTTGAAATCAAGCAAAAATTATTAATAATTAACTTTTATTTTATGATTATAAACATATAATTGAGTAGATTATACTTCGTAAACTAGATAATATTAAAAAAAAATATTAAAAAAGATGCATTAGTTCTATAGCATACAAAAAAAAATTTAAAGCAAAAATATAAAATCTTGAAAGATTTTTTATGTGATCTATTAAATGAAATTAAATTAATTATATAGTTTGACAATTATTGTAATGCATACCTGCAGATAACAGGCTTAAAATATATGAATTGATATATGCATTCTAATTTTTAATATACTAATATCATAATTATAACATATAATACTAAATCTAACTTATATAGATTTTCTTACAAATAACTTATTCTATTAAGT